AGGAGAAGAAGAAGAAGAATGCCGCCGCCGCCGCCGGGGCGGACGGCGGGGGCGCCTGGGGCCGCTGGGGCAAGGTGGCCATGTTTGCCGGCGCGGGCGCGGCGCTCGCCGTCGGCGGGGCCGCGGCGTACATGAACCGGGAGCAGATCACGCAGGGCCTCGGCTGGGCGTCGTCCCACCTCGAGTTCGTGGGCTGCCTGGCGCGGGGCGAGGAGCTGAAGCGCCGCGTCGCCTACTTGTCGCGCGCCCGGAGCGAGCTCGGCGTCGGGTTCGGGAACCTCTACACGCGGCTCGGCAAGGCCGCCCCCTCCAAGCAGGTCTCCATGGCGGGCACCGTTGTCGGCAACAAGCGCACCTTTTGCAACCTCCCGGCCAAGGCGGCGGCCGGCACTTGGCTCGAGGCTGTGAATGACGCCGCTACCGACGAGACCTTGGCACACACAAGTACGTCCCAGCCGCCTCAAGGAGTGATGATGGAGGCGCAAGCTAACCTCTTTCCTTGTAGCAATGTTCGAGCCGGCTCAGAACCCGGGATACGAAAAGCTAGCACATGACGCCGCTGGGCTAATCAGCTCGTGGACAAGGAACGAGTGGTATGATAGCAGCGCTGAGCAGCCCGACCTACTCATGTAAAGACATGCCTCTGTTCCTCCATTGCGCCTTTCTCCATTCCCTTCCCTCGTCCATTACGTGGTGACTTAACAAGGATCAACGGCACAATTCGGTTCGACGTTGGTGGAAGCCCCTGAATGCAATGGTCTATGTTCTATCCTCAACACCTGTATTGTACAGCCAAGGATCACAGCACTACCCCGTTTCTTTTTTATGTTGTCCCCTATTTTTGTACGTACTCGGCTCGGAGCGTAGCAAGGGCACCCTCTCGTGCACAGCCGCGCAATCATCCGCTGACCCTGAACAAGCGAGACGTAGAAGCTCACTTTGACTTCTCGGCGCCCTTGGTCCTGCCGCTGAGTACCTTGGACCTCTGCTTCCACATGTGAGAGTACATGTGAACGGAGCCTGGCGGGTAAACGACAAACAGGATGAAGTAGTAGATGTAGGGCAGCAGCGGGCTCGTGACCTCGAGCGGCCTCGTCGCAGCCAGCCAGAGCATCCAGCACTCGCTCAGGATGCCGACGGGATAGAGGACGATGAAGGTGCTGTAGCGCAGCCACGCGAGGCCGCTGCTCTGGACGCCGCCGAGCATCAGGGCGAAGTAGGTGTAGCGGATCACCTCGGTGATGCTCCAAGCGGCCAGCATGCTCGAGTAGATGGGGCTGGTGGCGACCGAGGGGAAGAGCCAGACGACGCCCCAGACGAGGAGGAAGCGCGACGCGACCTGCATTATCGTCGTGACGAGGGACGTGCGCACCAAGCCTGCCGAGCACGAGGGGGAGGGAGAGGGGCTTCGGTCAGCACAATCTTCGTTGGGCTAGGGGGAGCTACCACCCCCACGGCGGACGACAGGCTAGGGGAACAGGGGCAACGAACCAAGAGCAACGTGCAGGATCTCAAGCCCGGCCAGCGTCTGAGTCAAGCGGGCAAAGTTCATGACGACCAAGGGGACGAACTCGGGGCCCCTGATGGAGTAGGTGACGACGACGCGACCGAGCACGGTGGCCCACAGGATGGCGGAAGCGGCATTGTAGAGGAGGAGGTAGGCGTCGCCGGCGGCCGATGACTTCTTAGGCTTGGCCGAGGCCGCCTTTGAGGACTCCTTGGGGGGCATTTTCTTTCTGTGAGCCGTCGCGGTGTTGAGGGGCAGTTATCGGTGACGGAGGTGTGTGGCCGAGCCGGGGTGGTAGTGAGACAAGGCGGTAGATGCACGGCACAGCGACGCGAGACGAGTGCTACGCAAGCGAGGGCTTGGGCGCGATGAGTAATTCGCGCGTCGTTGGTGATGCGACTCAAGTCCGTCGGGGCGCTTTGGAGGGTGCCTCGGATTTCCGATAGCATAAGCCTCGGTCTCCCTGCTTGGAGTTTGGGCTGAACAAGCCACCTTGCTACACGCTAATCGTGTTCATTCCCCAGGTAGCCTAGCACCCTAGCCACCCCTGACCTCAGGGTCCCAGCAACTGAGCCACAGCTGCAGGTCCAGGAGGCTGTGAGCCCTACATGGGTGCAACCCTCATTGGCCGGCAGCTGGGGCTTGGTCCTGACGGCTTGGCGAACACCTTGGGACCTGGCAATTTCCGCCACGCGAGCCAAGGGTGCACTAAAAAAAAACAAGTCATGGCACAGCCCGCAAATCACCCCCCCGGGCGAACGTGCCACAACGTGGGAATGACGTGCGCGAGGGTCTAGACTCGGGCGGGGAGGCCTGGGAGAGAGCTCGACGACGGAGATGAGACGAACTCATATGTACCTGAGTAGACAGGTTACGTATCTGAACAGACAGGTATAATCCGAGGCCTTCTGGCTCCAGCCCAAGCCCCGATCCAGTGTCTGATTCCGTCGCGCTGGTTCGGGCTGAGCTGGCTGACGCCTTTTCTCCCGAACGGGCTACTATACACTACTGCAAGAACTCGTTATTCTCGGCGAAAGTCTCGCCTCTTTTCCGTGGGTTTAGCTGGGGTCCCGATGTCTGGGCGTGTGTTAGGCAGTCGAACGGGAGGAAACAGTGCGCACCGAAAATCAGTGTTTAAGCTTCACAGGGTTACACTGCCACAGATCCACCACCTTATTTATCTATATTGGGAAAAGACGGTTTCTGTCAATGCGCTTGGGGATGCCCGTTCCTGCCATGCGAAAGGCCAATTTTGCCTTCCCGTCTTCCCAATACCCCGATCGCATTTCGTTTTGCCCCTGTCCCTCTGTCGATGCCACGGGCTCCACGCATCAACGTCTCTGTTTAGGTACGCAGCAGGGGTTGCGTCTGTTGTTGGTTGCATTGCCTTGGCACCTGCCCGGTAGGCAAGCACACTAGCACATACTGCAGTTCTCCAGCTCGCCTTGCAGCTCGCCTTCCAGCACAGCTCATCAGGCCATGGTTGCACACCGAACCGCCCCAGGGCTGGCTGAAGCGGCAGGTTTGGACCGTCGAGACTCGAGCCTGCATGCTGCGCTCGCCCATGTTGGCGGCGCTACGGAATTCGAGCAAGCTGTGCCGCCAAAGCTGAACCTCCAGCTCGGGCATCGTGAGCAAGGAAAGTCCTAGGTGCTATCCCCAGAATAGCCCCCAGTCGTGTCAGGAGTGAGTGAGCGCATCAGCTTGGCGGCGCTCCAATAGCCTGGGCGCCGCCTCCACGAGACTACCCTTTTTTTTTGCGGCTGCCCACGCCAGACCTAACGGTACTACTGGCGGTGCCTAGACTTACTGTGCGGCGCAGCCGACCCCACTGCTCCTCCATCGTTCGCCGCCCCAGCCTGGGACCCATGGATCAGGCTGCCTGTCATGCCTAAATTTCCCCAAGTCATGTTTTCTATCCCGGGACTGCCTGCCCACCTGGCCATCCTACGCGAGTGCCCTCAGCACCACGCCGCAGTAGTTCGTTTTGTATATACATCTACACATATATAAAGAAGGCCCCCGGGGATCGATGTCTGCCTCACCTCGTCTCGTCTCTTCGTCACCCACAGCCGCTCAACAACCTTTAGATTCCATCCCTTGACATTCATAGCTTTTGCGCTTTATACCTACCTCCCACCTCCCCCCCCACTTACATCATGAAATCGGTCGCGATCCTCGGCTCCCTAGCCTCGCTAGCCTCGCTGGCCTCGGCTTTCTGCGCCCACGGCACGACGCTGTTCCCGCGAGCTTCCGGGGATGAGGTCAAGATCGCAACTTATGGCTTCCACGGCATGAACGGGCCCCTGAACTGGTACGGGCTGAACAAGACGCTCAATGCCAAGTGCGCCCAGGGCAAGGAGCAGTCACCCATCAACATCCTCACCAAGACGCTCAAGTCGGTCGACGGGAGCTCACTAGGCTTCGACATCCAGAGCTACGACAACGGGGCCGACTTTGTCAACCTCGGCAGCACCCTCGAGGTCATCGCCAACGGCACCCTCAAGCTCGACTCCAAGGAGTACAAGCTGGCCCAGTTCCATTTCCACACGCCCAGCGAGCACCACATCGATGATGAGTACTATCCCGCCGAGGTGCACTTTGTCTTCCAGGCTGCCGGTAAGTTGAAAAAAAAAAAAAGGAATCTCGCCTCGCTGACCCCCCGAGTCGCGCTTGTTATTTGGCGCGCTCGGGTGTTACACTTGCCCCGTTTCACCGTCGTCGACCGTTACGCTAACACAAGAATCCTCGGCCAGACCAGTCACTCTCCGTCGTGGGCTTCCCCATCGAGTTGCACGGGCGCAACAGCGACTTCGTCGCGACCGTGTTCGAGAAGGTGGACAAGATCAAGGAGCCCGGGTCCAAGGGCACGACGGGCAAGCTCGACTTCACCAAGCTGCGCGACCACCTGCGCCGCAGCAAGGTGTACCAGTACAAGGGCTCCCTCACCACGCCCCCCTGCACCGAGGGCATCGCCTGGAACGTCGTCAGGGACCCCGTCACCATCGACGTCAATACGTACAAGGCCATCAAGGGCATCATGAAGTTCAACTCGCGCTACACCCAGAACACCCCCGGCGAGATCAACCTGCTCGATAACGCTGCCAACACCCTGGCCGGCAAAGCATGAATGAGCACGCCACAGGGTGCGCCGTCATGAGCTCTAATCTTCTGCTTTATTTATATTTTTTTTTGTTAGACATGTTCCCTTGTTTTTTTTTTCCTGTTTATCCTTTTCGATTCCCCCTTTTGTATTAACACCATGGCATGGCGTTTCGAGACTTATGACATGATCTGGTGGGACGGGATAGTTGCTTTTCTTGGGGGCGCTAGACTATATAAACTACTTTTTAACCTTCTCGCACAAGCTTTTGTCCCTCTCGCAATACGCATGGTTTCCTTCCCGCATGGCGCGCGCCGAGGTAAGTGATGCTTGACTGCCTACGAGATGAGATCGCCAAATGCTCGCCTAATCATCTCATGAATTGTCACGGCACCATCGGCACAGTTTCTGGTCAAGTCACCCGTGTTATCTAAATGAGGTCGTTTTAAAAAGGAACAAGACTAGGGGATATCATTTCATCAGTCATGTTAAGTACAGAAAAACCCTAAAACCAAACGGCGAATCATGGGCCTGGGAAATTCCAGCCCGCGAAACATTGTTTCCTCCAGTCTGGGTAAGCCCGTCAGGTTAGCTGTCCTCGGGACCGCCCCTACGTCGGCCAGAACCCACACGATTCTTCTTCTCTTCCACCCCTTTGCGCGCCCGTAGCGCGCCGATCATCAGGATTATCCCCCAAATATCCGCGATAACACCAGGACATCCCCACTCATTCAATCAACTCGAGGTAAGATGATTCTGTAGTCCCAGCGTGCTCGGATTGCCGATGCACGTGTGCTGGGAACTTAAAGAACGAGGGATCGACTTCCATCAAAAAGATCCGAAAAAGCACAAACGGGGGCTTTGGTTCTGAGCCCGGATCGGAAATCCCGACCGGCTCAAAAGGGGCTGAGCGGGGGTTGGGTATCTGCCGTGTAAAATCGGCGCCGGGGATGCCGTGGTTACACATTTGTGTGCTCGCACGGAGCGGGCTTCGGTTGAGGGGCGGGAGAGAGAGAGATGTCGGGCGAGAATGCCATCTCGCTCCTCTCTCACTCGCCACTGGTGTTTCCTTGTGGGAGATTCTCAGACTGAGACCGAGATTGTTGTTGCTGTAGCATGTCCGCCGCCATCCGTCGTCTCCATTTCTGGAGCAGGAAGGGTGGGTGGGTGGGATGGGGGGGCGGGCACAGTCCGGCTCTTCACTTAGGTGCTCCCCTTGCGGCCGAGCATGGACCAGCCGCTAAAGAGCCACTCGGAGGAGTGGCGGCCGCAGTAGCTGTTGGCGTTGCGCTGGCCCGTCGGGGTGCTCGGCTTGCGGTGGGCGCGCGACTGGTACATGCCGTGGTGGTCGGCGACCGCGGTCGAGGCGTCAGAGTAGGAGCTGGGGCTCGTCGAGTAGAAAGGCGAGTAGGCGGCCGAGGTCTGCGTCTGGTCAGCTTCCATGGCTTTGCGAGATGGGCGGAGGTGGTGGTGGTGGTGGTGGCGGTGGACGGCCGCCTGGTCTTGGTTCGGGCTCACCTTGTGCTTGTAAGAGCTGCTGGGAGACTCGGACGAGGGGCTTCCCGGGGGGCTGTAGCGGGAAGGGCAGATGTCCAGCGGGGCGGGCGGCGCCGAGCGGGAGCTGGAGGAGGTGTTCATGGTGGATGGCGCGGTCGGGGACTGGTGATGGTCCGCGGAGGTGGTGGTGGTTCTTGTCGTGAATAGCTTGGTGAAGGACACGCGGCTTTGCTGGTAAAGAAGAACGAAGACGGCGGAGGTGATGGCCGTCGAGGTAGGTATATGTGTAGGCGAACACCCAGCTGGTATGATTGTATACGTGGGACGAGATGTGGTGGATGGCTACTACGGTACGTAGGTAGTAGGCATTAGACCCGGGCACAGGACAGGATAGATTTTTTGAGGCTCCTATATTCGATCACTAGCGACGGATCTGGAAGAGGGGTTGGACAAAACGTCAGGAACATTGAGGCTGTGTAGGTGGGAGCTCCCGCATCTTTATAGAGACGAGCAAGGGCCGAGTTGGACGGGCAGGACGGGTAGGACAGGCGCGCACTGCTGGGATGGGAGCAGCTCGGGCTAGGTTCCCCTCCATTAGGGCCGCCTTCCATCCCCCCCAATATCTTGGGGCCTGTAGGTCTGGGGGTAGGGCTGATGACTTTTTGGTCAGACGTGCATGGGCTTGGAGGTGGTAGGTAGCCCGCCAAAAGTGACACCACCCTGCCCGCACTGGGCTGTTAGTTATCGGCGCCGGGGTGCCGTAGCCGGGGGATGGTCTAGGGGGGGGGCCCCAATCCAATGGGGGTGCTTCTCCGCATAGGACACACGCTCGTCGCATAGGCCACACAGGCCACGGCCCGTCATTAAACCCACTCAATGCGCCGTTGTTGGCTTCTTGCCTGCTCTGCTCGCCGTGGTTCGCACCTTTTCGCCCATCCCTTTTTCCGCTGTCCTTGTCCTCGGGAGATTGGCGCATTGTTTTTGGGATGCAGCCCAAACAAACCCTTGGTGACCTCAGCCCGGGGCCGGCCAGCTGTTCGAGTTCGTACCCTTGGTAGGACTCTCGAGGCCACGGTCCGACTTCCAATCGTGCGAGAGCACACGGCAACACAGTTTACGACGTTGCCTTCGGCACCGGCACCTTAGGCAGACAAATAGATTCTATGTAGGTCAGGTTACTGTGTAGGTGCCCTTCCATACTGGGCAGAGTCCTAGTGGCTCCCGCTCCAAGCTCCATTTCTGGTTGGATGCCTTACGCGGCCCTCGGGGTTTCACCCAAGCAGGCAACCAAATTCTGCCAGCATGGTTGTGGAGGATCCACTTCCCCCCCCTGTGAGCACCATTTGTCCGTTCCTGGACGGCTTTCTACTCCGATCAACATGCTGGATTTTGACAGCCAGCCCGTCGTGCCCGCCCCTTTCCCTTTGTCTGCCGTTTATCTTTGGCGGACTTGCAACTCGACGCCGTTGCCTGGCTGGTTGGGGAGGCTGTGCACTCGGAGCCGGGCTGTGGTTCTCCCCCTTCCCTGCACCAACGCCCACGTGGAGGTTTAATGTTATATCCAGTTTGCGTGCCAAGTTCGGGCCAAGTTGGGCAAGGCAAGACACTGACGCCGCCTCTTTGTGCAGGGCCAGCCTCCTCCCCGCCGTGTTCGTCAGCTCGCTAAGCTGGGGCAGTTCGCTGATAGGCCAGGGATTTTGTCGAGCTAGGGTGCTAGGGTGCTAGGGTTCCCTTATCGGGCGCGGCGGGGGATGAACCAGCTAGCCCACGGAGTGATTCATGCGACTAAATTTTAGTCGGCACACCCTAGTCTCCGTTGATGGGGAACGTCAGGAGGAGAAAGAAGAAAAAGTAAACGCATTGGAACAGTTGTGGCCAATGGAGAGGGACAATTGTCAGCCATTAGAGTTCCCACTAGCATACTAGTAATGGCCGTATGCACAGTGTTCTGCGACTTATCGTGGTCCCTCTCTTCTCCGCATCGACTTGAGATGAACGGAAACAGGGGACGGGACTTCTCGACCTCTGGCTCGTTTTTAGGCCCGACTAGCGGGTGACACAGCGAGCCGGGACGCCAGGATTAGCAGCTCCAAGGGCCAAGTAACCATCCAACGTCATGCCATTCGCGTCTATTCATTCCCTTCGGCGCTGCCCAGCGTTGCTATTCGAGTCGCCGCATATTGTGCCGGCGACGATCTTATGCATCACACGGGGCTGCAGCAACCCCCTTTTGTCCCATCGCGAGAGGCCAGGATAAAGTAAATTTAACTGGCGCAGCTTGGAGCCAGCCGCGCAGGGAAGGGCGCTGCTCCTTCCAGTTCAGGGACCGAGACGAAAGGAGGAAAAATAAAAAAAGATCGGGCTCTGTGTCTTTCCGTGGCGTGTGTGCCGACAATGTTTGCGGGGTCCGCGGGGTGTGTGCGTGTGTGTGCGAGAGCTGACGCGCCTGTATGCCCACCGCAATTGGAGTCTAGGCGACGTCACTTGCTTCGGTCAAACCAAACTGGACACCGACCTTTTACGATTGGCCAGCGTCGTCGGAAACCAAACACGAGCGACACGAGCGACCGTATCTGCATAGATCACCGCTCAGACTTCCATACAGGCTTGGTCACAGGAGGATGCGGGTAGCGGCAGCAAAGGTTGACTCAACCGGCGGACAAACCAAGACATGAAAGGAAAAAAACAAACACAACAAAAAACAGTCACTCTCCGTCACTGCGGCGGGACCCCTCATCCTCCACCCCACACCTCTTGGCTTTCTTGAATCCTTCCTGTTGGGTTTGGTGCCCAATCCCACGATCACCAGGAAACATTGAAACATCAGGGCTCATTGGCGCCACCACGAGCCACCTGACCCCAACAAACCTCGCATACAAGCAGGGGGGACGATTGGACAAAAGGACTGCGGCTCTAAACAAACAAGCGTCATGAGCGGAGGTTATCCGATTGAAGTTGTGATGAACGAGGGCTGTTGTTTGAAAGGTGATCAAAACAAGCGGGCGAGAAAGGAAGAAGACGAGAAAAAAAAAGAGAAAAAAAAAAAGAAAAAAAAATCAGGACGCAGAAGAGAGGCACATTGCCAGCCGTCATCGTCAGGTTCCTATCTGCATCACCTTGTTCCTGACATCTTTGTCGCACCCGCTCCGTCCACTATTTCCTATCCCCTTCCTAAAACGTCGATTCGGTCGGCTTACAATTGACCCAGGTTGGGAGGTGGTAGTGGAGCGGCCACCCAAGAGCCACGGCCCGCACCCCGAGGCATAATATTCGAGCCAAGCCGGTAGTCCGGCACCCATGGGCAGGAAGGGCGGACGAGGCAGAATAGGCAGAATTGCACATCCCCCCACACACACATTTCAATCATTGGCGTTCTGTTCACTGGTCATTGCTCGGGAGGGGGGACGACTTGCACAGGGCCCACCTTTCCCGTCTCCGTCTTCCGCTGATCACGGAGACGCCGCGTCGCACGGGCGACTGCATCCGACGAAACAAAAGTTTCTTGACCCTCAAGAGCACAGAAATCCGGAGACGGAGCGGTTGCACGAACAGGGTGCAGGGGGCTCTTTTCTCCTCCTGCTGGGACACACGTGGCTGGCTTCGTCGACGAGAGAGCCGCCGCCTTGTATACGTGGCCGTTTTGAAGGCGTCGGGCTGGCGGCCAATGACTTGCCATTCTCTTGGCTCTGTCATCCGTGCCAAGCCCGTCATATCTGGCCTTCAGAGCCGAAAGTGACATCAAGCCTTAGCCAAGCACAATACGATAACGGTAAATTGGCCTGTCTGCGTGATAAAAAAACCATCTATTTTCGAGCAGACAACAAGCTGTATTTTTCTTGGGATCCTGTCGAACTATTGCCAGTTGACGTTGGGTGAAAACTCGTGACCGTATCTACCAGGCATCAAGGTCCAGAGTCCTCCAAGCAGGCGGGCATAGTTCTCAGCGTTGCCGAGTTTACTAAACGAAGACCCAGCCTGTTACTTCATGATGATGTATTGCGAACTTCTTATACATAAACGAAATCACGGAAAGGCGGCAGGCCCTGGTACGGTTCCAGAGGCGTCCCCATCTCGAGTACCCGGGATATGAGCCAAAAATTTGTTCGGCAGATGCGGTGCTGTGGTAGTCAACATAAAATCAAGACGGAAGCCAGGGCCAATGAACCGCGATTTGCCCACCAAGAAACGCCGATGCTAGGGGGGAATGTGCCATGTCGTCTCCAGCAAGGCTGATGTCTAGTCCAAATAGATAACGACGTTTACAATTTGCTGTTGATGATGCTGCGAAGATGAGCTCGAGGCGCTTCGTTTATTCTTGCGATACGGTTTGCTGTTCACTGCTGTTAGATAACTGACGAAACATGGCCGCAGCAGTACAGGGGCCACCATGTCGAGGTGGGGCTCCGAGGGTGCGAGGCAGAGCCGCCCGCGCCGAGCCGAAAGTGAAACGACAAAGCATAACAAGACACTTACCACAAGCCAGTCCATTCCCTCATTGACGCCACTGCCGTCAACGGCAGAGCAGGCCATGATGCTCCAGTTCCTGTCCCGCAGCTCACCTAGGCGCAGGGCCTGTGAGATGTCACCGGCCCCCTTCGCACCAGGCTGGTCCTGCTTATTGGCAAAGACAAGTAGCGAGGCGTCCTTGAGCTCATCCTCATTCAGCATCGCCGCCAGTTCGTCTGCTGCCGTCTGCAGGCGCTCGATATCCGTCGAGTCGACGACGAAGATGACGGCTGCCGTGTTGGCATAGTAGCATCGCCAGTATGGTCGGATCGATGTTTGTCCACCCAGATCCCAGACGTTGAAGTTTAGGTTCTTGTAAGTCACCGACTCGACGTTGAACCCTATAGTTGGTATCGTCGTGACAACCTCTCCTATCTGCAGTGGGGCCATCTTGTCAGGGGCATGTTGCCACGAAGCCGCGGATGGGCCTTTCGGAGAGGTTGTCGCCTTCGGGGGTTAAAGCAGGCCAGCTCATACCTTCAGCCTATACAGGAGCGTAGTCTTGCCGGCATTGTCCTGTAGGTAGCAGGTTAGTTTTGGTCATGCTTTCGGGAGGGGCCGCCAGATGGGGGTTCCCCTTACAAGACCCAGGATCAGGATCCGTATCTCCTTTTTCGACCAGATCAGGCCCGAGAGCCACGACACGCTCTGCCCCATTTTGGTCTGCTTCTCTGGGCGCAAGGCGACTCCGTCGCTCGGTTCCGATCAAAGGCGGTCGCGTCGCTTGTCCTGCAGAGCGGTGCAAGACCTAGGTGATGATAAATACTACCGGCTTTGGTGATCCAGGTGTCGAGGGAGAGCAGGTGGGTATGGCTTTCGCGTGGAATTCGTGTCGTATTTGGCGTGTACGGAACGTGCTCTCGGCGGGCGCGTTTTGTCGTTGACGGGTTTTGCGGTTGCTGTTCTGTCCAAGGTTCAATCGATCGGGCTGCATGACATCCGCCTCGGCCGCGGGCCACATGTGAGTGGCCAAATCGCGGCAAGCCTCCGACGTGCCAGAATCGGGAAGGGGCCGCCCCACGAGGCAAGCCACATCTACAGCCCCACACTTGTCTGCACGTGAGGAGGTCAAGCCACAGCACAAGCACCCTGCCTGCCAAACCGCCGCAAATACCCTATCACGCACCAAACCAAAATACCCCATTTTGCTTCATCTCTCTCAACAACGAAGAAAAAAAAAGACCATCTCTGCATTTGACGAACAACCATCAAAATGCCGGTACGCACGCCCCGACAGCTCTATTGACGCAAGATATCATGTTTCCCGTCGCCGTCGCCGCTGGTGGGATTTTGCAGGACTGCTGCGGCGACGCGATCGTGGGGGAAGAAAACGGGCAGCGCAGGATTGAGGGGCGCAACGACCGCATTCCCGAGACAGCATGCTAACCTGATGCCCGGCATCGACAGAGCCACAAGTCTTTCCGCACCAAGCAGAAGCTCGCCAAGGCGCAGAAGCAGAACCGCCCGATCCCGCAATGGATTCGTTTGCGGACAGGCAACACCATCCGGTACGGCGAACCTCTCGACACTCCTTGCTCCTATTCCTCGACTCCCTCCCCCCTCTGGGGCCCGTGGGATAGCGAATCCCTTTGGGACCTCTTCGCCAACCCGCCCTCGGGCACAGCGCGTGAATAAACCAGTGACGCTGACAATCCTGTGTTTGACATCACAGCTACAACGCTAAGCGGAGGCACTGGCGCAAGACCCGCCTCGGCATCTAAACGCTCTCTCTCTCATGTCCCAGTCCATGGTTTTCCTTGTTCTCCGACTTCTTTGTAACGTCCACCACTGGCTCGCCATCAGCCGCCAACCCCGCGCCAAGACTACAACTGCCGGCTGCTGGCTCCTGAGGCCATGATGATGGACGATGAAGCGGGCAAAACGATTCTACTCGGAGTTTGGTTTTGATGGATGACTGGAGGGAGTGAAAGCACCGTGATTTGTCGGGTCTCGCTGTCGAGATGCCGAGTCACTGGTATGCCGTCGGTTCTCTTTCTTTTTATGGTCATTGCATGTTACGGGCAAACAAAATGGAAGTCAAATGATTATTCCCCTTCGCCGTTGCATCATTTCCATGAACAAGTGGGGTGTCCTGATGTCAACCTCGACAGCGATACTGGCATCGCCAGATTCGGACAACACGGTATACTGCTCGAATGTGTTGTACGGGATGTGGTTTATTCGACCGAAAGGCCGACGGCCGACCAGTTATTTATCTGGTATCACAACCTGTCAACAGCTGACAGATTTGACGTTGTCCGCTTACGAGTTTCTCAGGTTGTCCAAGATGTGTGATAAATCCATGTTCTGCCTCGCCGAATGACGCAATTCATCACGCAACCAGCTCCTAGGAGTAGAAATATCACGATGTCTTTGGGACGGAAATCACAAAACGGCCATGGTCATATGTCAAATGCATTCTGATTTATTAGCGGCTTCAAAGTCATTCAAGGATGCGGTTAGGCTTGAACCAAACCCATACTGGTATTTCTTTCACCAAGCGACAATGCGGATCCGGAACCCAAGTGTCAACGAACGAGTATCGCTAGGGCACCTGTGATAGTGCGCCGAGGACATGGCCCAAGAAAAGCATACGCCGTCGCGGCCGTCCAGTGCTGGAAACCGGGGCACGAGGTCCACTGGCCGCGAGAGTAAGAAAACCTATCGAGGTATCAATACACGAGAAGCAAACGCCCCCCTCCATGAGCTATGAAACGAAATATGTGACACCGTTGTCGCTCGCGCTAGATATGAGCAGTAGAGCCGGCCCGAGTATCTCGCAGCTGCGTAGCGTGTCGGGCCCAGAGGCATATGCAAGCCGGCGAGCCTTGGAGAAACCGGAACATCTTGAACGTCTCAACGGTCTTCCGCCCACTCGTTCTCGCGACGAATTTGCTCCTCCTCCTCTGGGGTGAAGTCGTTCGTGATGTTGAATGTCTTACGAATCTCCTCGGGAGACTTGCCCTTGATCATGTTGGCCACGGTTTTACAGCCGACGTCAAGGAGCGGCTTGATGTCGAGGTAGTTGGATGCCTGCAAAATAAGAATGAGGTTAGTGGGAGGTCCTAGGCGAGGAGCCCAAACAAAGGGGCAGATGGGGGTGGCTGGGGAACACGTACAAGGATGATCTCGAAGAGCATCTCTTGGTCGACTTGCATGAACTTCTGATCCCACTCGTCGATGTCGGTAGTCTTCTTACGGTTTTCCGTGTCCTCGTCGTTGGTCTGGGTGGGGTCATTCCTGTGGTGCTCGCACCATTCGAGGACCTTCCTAAGCACGGCCTCGGTAACGTTGGGAATGGGAATCGGGGTCGAGGCGACCATGTCCTCGCCGAGATCCGAGATCAGATCCTTAATCAGTCGGGAACGGCATGCGACAGCGCGATCTATAATGTTCGAATGTTAGCGGGAGGCGGTCACGGGTGACTGAGCGGGGGGAGACGCTCGGGGGATCCAGTCGCAACTGGTTGGGTTCTTGTACATACCGACCTCGATGGCGTTGCCATCGTTGCTCTGAAGCGAGACCTTTTGAAGAGTTCCCTCCGACATTTTCGGCTACTAGCGATGGGGGAGTTGATGATGTTGTCGATGGTGCGGCGATGGGCGCAAGAGCAGGCCCAGGTTGTTGCAGCGGTCGGCGATTGGCGTTTGCGGTGTCGGGGACAGTGGCTGGAGGGCTCAATGTGTCGAATGCGGGCGTAGGTAGTGGTTGATGCCGATGGCAACTCGAGAACCGGGAGACGCCGAGAGGAGGAAGGGTCGGCTTAAATAGAAGTGTCAATCCGCGGTCAGGAATATCAAGTTAGGCAGAAGTGCGGGAGGAACAAGGGTGTCCTTCACGCTCACCCCAAGCTGATGTCCAGAACTGGAACAGGCACACTCACTGCGTGTTGGTGTCGCGCGGGGCAGGAGTGGAGCAACAAAAGCCTGCGGCGGGTGGTACCGTTTACGGAAGGCACGAAATTTCTAATTTTCCTGCACCTAGGTAGATGTGGGAGCTGTGACCCGTAGAAAGTCACACTCCACCTATGGTAGTAGTTATCTCTACCTATTTAGCTCCTACAGCGCTTCAGCCTCAAGACAGCACCGGCTCAGCCAGATCTCGAACTGCTATCAAGTTACCAGTGGCTCACATCTCGTCAAGTGCGACTTGAATTCTCAAGCGAGAGCCGAGTTTGGCTGACCACGGTCGGCTTGAAGGATACCTCTACCCCACAAGGAAAGCACCCCACAGTTACAATCCCAACAGCGCCACCGTTTGTGTGCATTCCATGGTGGCAAAGACACGAACAAACAAACAATGATTTTTGCCTGCACGGGTTGGCTGATGGGGTATTTGATTTGTGCCAAGTATACCGAACCTACATTCGAAAGGCTTCATCCGTTTGATGGCCGAAAAGCGACGAAGAGGTCGCTCCACCGCCAGGACTACCCTTTGTATATGTACCTTTTTCAAATCACCAGCAACAATTGCCTGACATCACCGGTGGGCCCGAAACTTCCTCATGTTCCCCTCAAGCCAACTCATCCTCACAAACCATCCCTAAGCTTTGGCTAACGAGAAACGTAAGACATAGACTTCAGCACTGGTTGCCCAATGGTATCACAATCTAGGCAATTCCAGATGGGTGACATGCGATACTGGGACAGGAGATAATAGGCAACGGATGCGCTCTCAATAATAACTAATATGGATGAATCGTCTTTCCATGTGTGTGGCGGATGCGGCTCGGAGATTCATACCGCAGAAACAAGAAAAGGTTCCTGCATCCTCAACCTATGTAATCGCGTCTGAGGAAAGCTGCGTCCGTCTCTAACGGAGTCAAGATAATTCAGCCAAGAGATAGGACAGGGAACCATTTTCAAATAATCACAACCGATGTAAGGCTAGTACCTGGTAGTCAGGAATAAGAACCGCCCAGCGACGGCTCATTGGTAGGGCGTCTGCCGAAAGCGACGGCCCCTTCTTTAAGAAAGTGGGCGAGCCAGGCGTCCCGCAGAGATGGGTGTGGCAAGCGCAAATTGGCTGCATGATCTGCCAGATCCCTGCAAGGGTGCCAGCGAGACAACCTGTGGGTGAAATCACCAGGTGCTCTCCTGTCTTTGAAATTTCGACTCCCCTTCATAACAAAACCAATCATTTCTCGCGCGCGAGCGCATGCTACGGGGCCTGCCTGCTCTTGTTCCATTCTCCAGCCCTCTTCTTCGATTCGTCGCACTCATTTCCTGCCCTGTTGCTCTGACCATGACATATTTTGCTTCCTGCAGCCGCCTCCCGCGTCCTTCCTCTCCTTGCCCGGTGCCAGGCCAACATGTGGCGACGCACATATCTCTTTCTGATCCTCGTAAGGCTCTGGTTCGCGCTGTCGCCCAGTTATATTCACCCAGACGAGAACTTTCAAGGCCCCGAGGTCATCGCAGGCGAGTCGCGCCCGTTACACCGATACCGCGCCCGAGTTTCCAAACTGGGATGCATCGCGGCGCATATTTGCGCCGTCATGTTCTTGGCTTCATGCACCGCCGCAGCTTCGCCTGATGCTTGTCGTGGATGGCTGCAGCTTGCTCTCGTAACGGCCTGTGGCTCACAGGCCATGCGGGGGGCTCGGGATATGGTGGGGTGATCTCACGACGCAGGACAGCACCAGCTAACACTCGGATTTCCCATACTCAACAGGCCAGATTTTCAGCTATCCGGTTCGACACACTTGGGAATTCACCAGCGACCGCCCGATCCGAAGCGTCTTTCCACTATGGCCGATCTACGGGCTTCCTATGCTCTTGCTTCGGTGGCTCTGGATTGGGAATGGCAAGGACGGGGAGATCCCGCCGATTGCCGTCTTCTGGTCGCTCCGAGTCCTGATGTTCGTCCTCGGGTTTGTTCTCGAGGACTGGGCGATCCATGAGTTGATCTCCTCGCCGCGCCACCGCCGGGTCGCCGTGCTTCTCGTCGCCTCCTCCTATGTCACCTGGACGTACCAGACACATACATTTTCGAACTCGATCGAGACATTGGTTGTCGCGTGGAGCTTGGTGCTTACCGAGCGTATCGTGGCAAGTCCGGTACGTTGTCGACATTGCCGCCAGCTCAAGGGATATTTTGTGGGCGCATCGCCACTCGCCGGCGGGCGGACGTTTTTGCTGACTATTCATAACACCACCAGCGCGACGCACTCATGGCCTCGGCGGTATTGGGGATGCTGGCAATTTTCGGCTTCTTCAACCGAATTACCTTTCCTGCGTTCCTCCTCATTCCCGGAATTCGGTTGATCCCATGCTTCTGGAATAGGTATAGTTGCAGCATGCCCCTGAATTTTCTTGACGACCAGAAACACTGACATGTCTACAACCAGGCCCTTGTCTCTCGCTGTGCTGTTGCTCTCTGCCTTGACTGCCACCGTCGTCGCTGTAATACTCGACACGGCGTTCTATACCAAGCACCAGGTGTCATGGGCGGACATTGTGTTCCACCCTGTCATTACCCCTTTGAACAATTTGCTATACAATATCTCGCCAGCAAATCTTGCTCAGCACGGTCTCCACCCGTGGTACCAACATCTTCTGGCCAATATTCCGCTACTGCTTGGGCCTGGCGTCCTCCTACTCGTCAACGCTCAACTCTCGCCAAGGCTCTATTCGGCCATATCCGGGCTTTTCGTCCTGTCGATATTCCAGCATCAGGAAGCCAGGTTCTTGCAGCCTACTGTGCCTTTGATCCTGTCGTCTGTGAAGCTCCCTAAAAGCCGTCCTCTTAGGCGGGCGTGGATCACGGCGTGGATCATCTTCAATGCGGCTATGGGCGTGTTGATGGGAGTCTATCATCAAGGCGGAGTCATACCGACCCAAGTCTTTATGAGCAAGCAGCCGGATGCAACCAAGGCTATCTGGTGGAAGACTTATTCCCCTCCCATCTGGCTGCTGAATGGCAAGAACGAGGTGCTCGAAACTATGGACGTGATGAGTCTGGGAAGGGAGGACCTCTTTGCCCAGCTGGAGACCATGGCAACCTGCGACGCACCAGCAGACAGGAGGAGCATGGAATATCTGAGGGAGAAAAATGGAACCTACCTGGTCGCGCCGGTCTCGGCTACGGGATTGGACCCTTACCTTTCCAACAAGGGGCTTGCTGGGCTAAGGTTCAGAGAGGTATGGCGCCATGAAAAGCACTTCAACTTTGACGACCTGGATTGGGGGGAAGACGGCGTGTGGAACACTCTCAGTCGACTCTTCGGAAGACGGGGACTTGCTGTCTGGAGGGTTACCAAGAGTTGCCCTGAGAGGAAAGGGTAACGGCCGTACCACCTTAAAAGTAATCTAATCCTAGCGTTTTGTGTTTGGCAACATGAGGTTCAGCTGTGCAGATAACTTGAAGTGGAATACTCGAGCAACGGTGGAAAGGCAGTCAAACCATCTGCCGACAAGATTGCCGCCTGGCACAATGTCGTGATATTTTTTTTTAGCAGACAGTGCACAGGCTCAAACGCGCCGCTGGTAGATGAGATTTGTCGGTGCCTGTCTCTCCACTGACGTCGTCATCAACGCGACCGACTGCATGACCAAGGGACAGGGCCAGAGAGAGGGGTGGCCCAAGCTCCAGACCTAACCCACCGTAGTGGATGAGACGGTGCTGCCCCGCCTGATCGGCCGCTCTGGCGCGAACAAAAATTGCGCCTGTCCGCGACGTGGAGTGCTCTCAAGTGGGCAGATCTTCCATCACTGTGGCTTCAAACGGCCCGACCAAGCCCGGCCACACACCAACCGGCTGCGAACACAGGCCTGCTCCTGCTCTCCTTCACCATGTCTCGGCTCAACCTAGAAGTCCTCAAGGTAATGCCTGCGCACCAGACAATGCTGGGCCAACAGCGGCTTCGTTGCTGACCGAGGCGTCAAACCCGCCACAATCAAGTTCGGCATGTACGTCATGTTCCCGATCGGGATCATGTTCTACTTCGGCACCAACCTGGACCAGCGATTCGCCGTGCCTGATTTCTGGCCCAAGCCCGAGCAAGCCAACAGAGTGCCCCACGAGGCCGACGAGATACGGGCCGAGCTGGAGCGGCTCCGGGCCAGGAGGCTGCTGAACAGGGATAGGCGGCTAGCTGCCGAAGCGGCCCAGGAGAAAGCGCAGACCGAGGACCAGGCACGGTCCGAGTAGACACAGTCACCCCCGTGCTGTCAGCGAGGAGAAATAACATGCGCTCGGGGTAAGGGGTTGGGTTCTGTTCGAAGATGCCTGCCTGTGTACGATGACCGGGACGAAGCGTTGGTAATACCGGGACACGAAAAATTATGTATCATCTCTACGGCGGTTGCCGGGTCTTAGTCAATGAGGCGTTTGTTTTGGGAGGGACATGTTATTTCACAGCGCCACTCTCTCCACTCTCATGAGCTGCATAGGTATGTCTGTGGTCTATGGGAGGTACGGGTCTAGAATATTCATCTAGGAGGTGATGCGTGTCTTGCATCGGCACTCGCTACGAGTCTAGGCTCTCCACTACCGAAGACCAGTCCTCATCACTGAGGCTCTGCCCCCTGGCCGCGTTGGAGTAAATCGACTGGACCTCGCTGTGCTCTCGCAAAGCAGAAAGAAGCTCGGCCAGCCGCTTGGCCTCATCTGACGAGCCGACAGTGGCCATTGTGTCCTCGACCGGTGACCATATTATCTCAGAGCTCAAGGTCTCGAGGCCGAACTTGGGCGCAAGGTCCTTAACAAGTTGAGTGACTTGGGTTGGCTGCGTCCAAACGACAATGTTACCCTCCTTGTCCGACTCCAAGTCCTCGGCCCCGGCCTCGATGGCGTCGTCCATGAGCTGGTCGGGTCCCAGAGAGTCATGGCGCGCAAACACGGCGCGGCCGGCGCGGGAGAAGAAGAACTTGGCCGGCGTGACCGTGCCCGAGTTCTTCTTGATGGTGGCGTTGATGTCGTGCAGCGACCGGAGCTTGCTGTCGGTCTCGACCTCGACCAGGACCGCGACGGAGACGGACGACGGCAGCGGCACCACGACCTCGAAGATCATGCTCTCCAGGGCGGCGCCGGTCGCGGACCGGCCCAGGCCGCGCGCGATGGCGGCGTCCATGACGGCCTTGGGCACGCCGGCCTTCTTGGCCGCGGTAACGGCTGTTGCGAGCTGCGGGCTACCCTCGCCAAACACTATAGTTGCTCAACCGTCCCGGCGCCACGCACGCATGCGCATTTCACGTACTTGCTATGAGAACATTGGTCGGCTTCATCCCCGCGGTTCGGCTGGGGGGTTTTTTTTTTAGGGGATGCACGCACTTTTACAGGCGTTGGATAGCGCTTTGGACATCTGTGCGCGTAATGCCGTCTTCTTGATGTCGGCGGCGCCCTTTTCGTGCCTGATCTTGGACCACTTGTTGTGGCCGGCAGAGAGCGCGGTGCTGTGTCCAAGAGACCGGCATTGTTGTCTATACGGGCAGCCGACGGCGCCTCCTGATATCAGGCGTGCTGGACGCACGAGCCTCAAAACGGGCGCCGTGATGTTCATGTTGTTCACGGCTTGCTGGGCACCACGTTTTTGTCGTGCGCACTCCCAGGCCGAGTCGCTTGCTGGGTAAAAATTAGCAATAGGCTTGGGCCGGGCGCTAGCAACGGCCTAAGACGACTGGAGTCAGGGGTTGCGCGTTGTGGGGGCACCTTAATGGCCTTGAAATTCAGCGTGCCACTGATTGGCTGGTGGCAGCGGGATGAGAGCAAGGGCCGTTGTCCGGCAGACTGGATTGACACGGCATCCAAGCACCCAAGTCAGGCTTCATCCCGCTCACCCCCCACGGGATCACCCAAAAAGTCCGACCACGACTGCCGACTTCTCGATACGGTGTCCAAGAGAGGACAATATAACGAACCCGGCGCCATGTCGTCGGTCTGGGCATCCTCCGAGCCACCATCTGCCGTCGAGGCCAATGGCAACCATGTCCCGCCGCCCCCGCCGCCCCCAGCCGCCGTCGTCTCGACCAACCCCGAGCTCGATGTCGCCAAGCTCCAGGGCCTCCCCGCCGAGCAGCAGGAGTTGTTCCTGCTCGCCTTCGTCTCCTCCCTGACCAAGCACGTCCTGTCGCTCGAGCCCGACGACTGCACCGCCCAGCAGCTCTACCTGAAGAAGGAGATCTTCCAGGTCGTCAACCTGCCCAGCCCCGCGCCCTCGCGCGTCGTGAGAAACAACCTCGGCAAGTGTCTGGCCCAGATCCTGGGCAAGGGCGACAGGAAGCTGCTTTTCGAGACCATCAACGACCTCAGCGCCCTCGTCTCGTCGGGCAAGTCCAAGACGGATGGCGACACCAAGGCCCGCCACGCCGCCGTCGTCTGCCTGGGCGATGTCTACGGCTCGGCCGGCGACAGCGCCATCGGCCTGCACCAGATGGCCTGCGGCAACCTCCTGAAGCTCCTCAAGTCCTCCCAGAACCATGCCGGCATGCGGGCGTCCATCTTTGTTGCGTTTGCCAAGATCGCCAAGATGCTGGAGGCGAGCCTTGACGAGAGCCTCGCCAGGGATCTGTGGAAGCAGGCGAGGAACCACGCCTCGGGCGACAAGGGGTCGCTGGTCATCATGTCGGCCTGCCGCTGCCTCAAGAGCCTCGTCCGCCACACGCCCTACTTTGACAACTCTAGCGATTTTGACAAGCTCAGCAGGACCGTCTTCAAGGCCATCGACGCGGGGTCGTCCCAGGTGCGCCATGCCGCTGTGGACTGCTTCGCGGAGCTGATGGTCAAGAACTACGCCGAGGACGGCGCCGACGTTCCATCCAGGGCCAAGGCGTCAAAGGCCAAGCCACTGAAGCGCACGGGGACGCAGGTGGGCGCTCTCCAGGATGAGGACGAGCTCCCCGCGCGGTCTGAGAGCCCGGTGCCGACCAAGAAGACTCAAGACCTGGCACTGTCCCTGGCGGATATTCTCAAGACCTTCTCGGCCCATTACGTGCGCTCGTCCACGTCCAATAGGGCGAGGGCGGCCATCGGTGTTGGTTATGGGAAGGTTCTGCACCGGCTGGGAGAGAAAACGGTTGAAGCCAACTACATCAGGCTGGTCGAGACGCTCACGGTGGATCTGCTGGGAAACTCGAACATCTCGAACAACCGCTACCGTCTCTTGATCTCGCGACGCATCGTCGACACGGTCATACAGGACATGGTGGGACACGAGATCTTGGGCGAGTCCGGCCAGTCCGCAGCGGCGAGACTTCTCATCAACGATATCCTGAAAAACTACCCACAGTCTCTCAAAGAGCGACCCGAGCCCACCAAACAGACGCTCATTGCCTCACTTGGTGCGCTGTCGTCACTCATCAAATCATTGGGCTCTGCCGCCAACAACTTCGCCGAGCCCTGCAGGGACGCGCTGCTGCAGGTCCTCCAGCATCCGAGCTACAGCGTTCAGGTGTATGCGTCCTCGTGCCTCAAGACATTCGTGCTGGCATGCCCTCAACAGCTCCTGCCCTGCCTCTCGGTCTGCATGAACAGCCTGAGCCGTGAACTCGGGCTCCTCGGGACCGGACGCAACTCGCCGAGGCGGTGTATGGGCTTTGCCCACGGGCTGGCTGCCGCCCTCAGTGCTAGCCCCCTCCGGCCTCTCCACGGCTCTGTCGAAATCAACAGCAGAGTGCTGTCGATGGCGACCAATCTCCTCAAGACCAGCGGGCAGCAAGAGTTGCGCGTAGCCAGTACGCAGATCCAAGTCGCCTGGACTCTGATCGGCGGCCTCATGTCGCTCGGCCCCAACTTTGTCAAGATCCATCTGTCCCAGCTCCTGCTGCTGTGGAAGAACGCCCTGCCCAAGCCGCTGGCCAAGGACAATGGCTCATCGCGCAAATACCTCGAGACGTCATTCCTGACGCACGTCAGGGAATGCGCTCTTGGCTGCATTCTCGCATTCCTCCAGTTCAACAGCCGGCTGCTCACCGTCGACGTTTCCAAGCGCATCGCCACGATGCTGCAGCACACCACGGCCTACCTCAAGACTCTGCCCGCCAAGAAGACCAATGACGATATCTCACAGCGCCTGGCGCCTGCCATCCAGCTCTATGACCTCGACATGATGGTACAGCGGCGCGTGTTGCAGTGCTATACGAAGCTGATCAACCTCAGCCCAGCGGGCGGCACCGAGGCCCTGCTACAGTCTAACCTGCTCACTCTTGCCATCTCGCTGTTCGCGGACCCGGACAGCTTCACACCAAGCTCGCTGAGCGCCACGATAGCGAACGCAGCCGGCGCCTTCGACACCATCTGGGATGTCGGGGACAACTCTGGGTTCGGCGTGACCGGGCTTGTGCATGGCTTCAATATCAAGCCGCTTCCTGGCCAGCACGAGAACTCGGCCGAGCCTTCGCCCGTCGACGAGAGCGGCCCCGAAGCTGCCATAGACCGGCTCCTGCTATCTCCTGTCTGTGGCTCGCTCGAGCACGACGCCTCCATCTTGTATATAGGGCACCCTCAGGTTGGTGCCGATCTCGATGATGATCTCCCGGATCCGCCAGCGACCGAGGTGGTCAACATGGCCATCCAGCTCTTTGCGTTTGTTTTCCCCTTGACCCCATCCAAGGTCCAAGAGAGCATCCTGGAGCAGGTTACCACGTTCCTGTCCGCCGGCTCCCTTCAAAGAGAAACCGGGAGGAAGGCAGCCATCAACGTCAATACTGCTGTCGCAATACTCTGCGCTCTCAAGGTGGCGGTCAAGGAAACGCAATCGGCGCATGGCGATGTCACCAATCTGGCAGTCGAGAAGCTGCTCCAGGAGATGATCCGGGACGTGGTGCTCAGCCCGGACCAGTATGTGCGCAGCATCGGGTATGCAGCAGTGGCGCGGCTTTGCAGCACCTGTGGCAACGCGTTTACGAACCAGGAGATCAAGTACCTCGTCGACACCATTGTGAGCAATCGGGAGCCGAGCGCGAGGGCCGGTTGTGCCATGGCTCTCGGCTGTATCCAGACCAAGGTCGGGGGCATGGCGGCTGGATATCACCTCAAGACCATCCTTGGCATTATAATGTCCCTCTGCAACGACCCGCACCCGACAGTCCACTTCTGGGCGCTCGAGGCTTTTGCCCGAATGTCGGACGCTGCTGGCCTGGGCTTCTCGAGCTACACTACCAGCACCCTCGGCATGTTGGCCCAGCTATATGTCTCGGACAACCACAACGCAGAAACGGGCTCGGCCAATTCGATGGGCCTTGAGGTTGAGCTTTCGACACCTGCGGCCATTGCCAGGTGCATCGACTCCATCATCAACGTGCTTGGCCCAGACCTGCAGGACTCAACCAAGTCGAGAGAGCTCATACTCGACCTGACAGGGCAGTTTCAGGAGGAGGAGGACATGCAGGTCCAGCTTGCTAGCCTTGGCTGCCTAGAGCACCTCTCCCTCTTTGCACCCGGCTTTGTCGACTTCGAGGCCTACGTGAAGCTTCTCCAGACCCATGTCACTACCAAGCACCGAGCACTTCGTGATGCGGCTGTCGATGGCCTGTACAACCTGATGAAGAGGAACCCGAACGATGTGATACAGGCGGCCGACAAAGGCTTCGAGGACCAGCTGTGGCTTGTTCTCGACACGTGTCCCAGCCACGAGGGCATCAGAAATCTAATACGCAACTGGGTGCACCAGACGTGCCTCACGGACACGGCCATGTGGCTCCAGCGCCTTCAGGGGGTGCTGAAGATGACGCGCACCAAAGTTGCTGAGACTTCCAATATGAGCTCTGGCAGGTCCAACGCCGTGGTTGATCTCCAAGACGAGGAGGTGGCCGGGTTTGCCGCCGCGGCCGGGGTAGCCAAGGACGACAAGGATGCGGGCGGGGGCTCCGACGTCGAGGCGCTGCGATGGCAGGTCATGACGTTCGTCATGGGATGCCTCGGCGACATCTTCGTACATGTCAACAAGGAGGTGGCGACTCACGGCGAGTCGGCAGCGCAGTTGGCGCTCCAGAACAAAATAGCCGAGGTTGTGAGGATGGCGTTCTCGGCCTCTACTGCAGGTGTGCTGGAGCAGAGGATATGGGGCTTGAAGATCGTAGGGGCGGTGCTCAAGATGTTTGGCCGAACGCCGGACCCGGACTTTGAGGAGGCCATGCTTCTAGAGCAGTATCAGGCCCAGATCAGCTCGGCGCTGACCCCAGCGTTCGCGGCCGACTCGTCGCCAGAGCTCGCGTCGGAGGCGGTCAACGTCTGCGCGAGCTTCATAGCGACGGGCATCGTGACAGACGTGGACCGCATGGGCCGTATCCTCAAGACGCTTGTGAGCGCGCTGGAGAACTTTGCGACGGAGCGGGAGAACGTGGGGATCGGCGAGCTCAAGGGCCTGAGCTCCAACGCCCAGGTCATGGTCAAGATGTCCGTGTTCGCGGCCTGGGCCGAGCTGCAGGTGGCAAGCTCGGAGCAGAAGTACCTGTTCGAGGTGCTCAAGTCGCACATCGGTACGCTGACGCCACTGTGGCTCGAGTCGCTGCGCGAGTTTGCGCGCCTCCGGTTCGAGCCCGACATCTCCATGACGCTCGGCCCGCCGTCGCTCTCGGGCAGTCTAGACACCATCTACGCGGCACTTAACCGCGAGACGCTCCTGCGGTTCTATCAGGATGCATGGCTGAAGCTGGTGGACGCCATCGCTAGCCTCATTGAGCAGGACAGCGAGTTTGTCTTTGATGCCCTGGACGGCAAGGAGACGGACGGGCCGTCGGCGTCGTCGGCGTCGCAGCCCGATCGGCCTAGGGGCGCCGATATTAACTACCGTGACGAGCCGGTGGCTTTCTTCTTTGTGCTTTTCGGCATTGCCTTTGAGGCACTCACCGCGAAGCCCGGGCAGCCAGACTCGCTCGCGACGCAGGAACAGACGCTCGAGATTCTCAAGGCGCTCCGCAAGATTCTGCATCCGAGCGTGTCGGGACATGCCATCTATCGCGAGGCCATCTTCTCCGAGGCTATGGACCTGCTCGACCGCCTCGTGCTGACCGAAGGGCTCGATGTGCAAGCGGTGATTGTGGAGATCGCGCGAGCGCTGTGCGTGGCGCATCCAGCCGCGCGCAAGAGGACCGACCAGCCCGATAGTGGAGAGCTGTCCGAGGACATAGAGCAGCTGTTTGAGCTGACTCGGATCATCGTCCTCGTGCTCTCTGGACTGCTGCCGAACCTGACGGAGGCGGTGGCGGGCAGTCAGCAGGCGGCTCCAGTGCGCCACCAGATGACGGAGGAGGCCATCCTCCTTGTGCGCACGTCGCTCAACGCTCTTGTGGACGCGGCCGAGGTGTTCCCTACCATAATCCGGACGGACCTACACGCTTGCATCATCCACATATTCGCCACTATACTGGCCACGCCGGCATGTCAGCAGATTATCGTCCCGCAGTCCCTGCCGACGCTGAAGCGGTTCCTCGGCATCCTGTCGGGCTCTCGCCGGAACTCGCCGGTCGACGACGGGGGTGCGCCGACCCAAACCGACTCGCAGCTCCAGGGCTGCCTCCGCAGGTTCCTGTCCATCTACCTGAACGCACAGAAGCGCGAGGAGCCGACGTCCCTCTCGTGTGTCAAGAACTGTCTGCTGGCCATCACGGTTCTGTTCACCAGCGGGGAGAACCACCTATCTGCCAGCGACCCGATCGTGGTGCGGTTCCTTGACGAGGTGGTTGACTGCCTCACGGACAGGATGGTAAGAGATTCATGTCATATTTACCTATTCTACCCGATCTTCAAACAGGCCCACTCGATGTTGCCACAAAGACACTGACATATCTACGGCGCGCAAACAGACGGCCAAAATCGCAGCCAACTGCGTCCGCTCACTAGTGGTGCAGTCTAACCCGACGCCGGCGGACCAGTCCATCGCGCGCTACCTCCTTCCGCGGCTTGTGTCGTTTGTGACCAACACGGAGCCCGAAGACCCAGAACGAGCACGAGCGCTCGTGTCCCAAGCACTTGCGTCCTTGGTGGCTGCTATCCCCAAGGATCAGGGCGAGGCTGTCGCGGTGGCTATGGCATTGGTGGTGCCAACGCTACTAGCTCGCGCCGCGGCCGAGGACGATGATGGCAACGATGACGACGACAACGACAACGATGGCCGCAGCGGCAGGGCGGGAGGCGGAGGTGGGGTCGTGTTCCGAGAAACCAGCGCACGACTGCTGGAGCTTGCGTCTGTGGACCAGAAGGCGTTCCGCGGCGTGGTGGCCGGCATGAGCGAGGGACAGCGGGCCTTTATGGAGGAGGTGATCCGCAGCGGACGCAAGGCAACGGCGGATAAGGACACGGAAGCCAGCACCGGGCAGCCCAGCATCGCACTCAAGATGAACTTTGGGGGTTGATGAGACGGATGCGGAGGAGACTTTTTATTACATAGAGCATTTGGATTAGAGGTGAGCGTTATGATCATGATTGTTGTTGTCACCCTGCCTCGTCGTCTATCGAGTATTCCAGCCGACAGGGGTAACACGCACGCACTTGTAGAAGTGGGGAAGGCGTGTGGGGTGGGCCGTGCCTACCTGTCGCCGAATTGGAGATGGCCAACAAAACAAAGGTGGATGGCAACGAGTGGCAACGAGTGGCGCAGCTAAGCCAAAGTAAACAAAGGCCGATTTGAGCTGCAAGTGCTCCAAGTATCACCACCCGGGCCTCGCGGCTGCGTACAGGGCAGCCCCGGATACATACGGCTAAGCAGAACTAGGTCAGGTAGGGCCACACAATGGCCGGCAAGCTGCGGGCGCGCAGGGTGCAGATCATCAGCATCGCAGCCCTCAGCACCCTGGGAATCTATACCCTGGTCCGGCTGTCGACAGCGCCGCCCTCCATCCCACACGTCTACCTGAGCCCGAGCAAGCACGATGCCCACATCCCGGGCACCTCCCCGGCCCGCCCCGGCCAGGCCCAGGTCCCGATACCACTGCCAATACCCGACGCCGCCCTGTCCCCGACAGACACCACCGCCGCCACATCCTCCCCACCACCCATATTAAAGCCCTCCAAGGAACCCAGTCCGGCGCCGCCGGGCACCCAGCACCCCATATCATACCTGATCAGCGCGGCCGAGGAGGAGATGGGCAAGATGGTGGCGCGGCAGTCCAAGACGCTGGAGCAGGCCGTGGCCGAGTACCGGCGGCGCTACGGCATGCCGCCGCCGCCGCGCTTCGACGAGTGGTACGCCTTTGCGCGGGAGCGCGGGGTGCGGCTGCCCGACGAGTTCGACGGCGTCGCCGACCTGCTGACGCCCTTTTGGGGCCTGACGCCGGCCACGGTGCGGTCGCGGGCCTCGGAGGCCATGGGCTTCGCCGGCAACGCGCTTCTGGGCGTCCAGGTGCGCCGCGGCGCCGTCGCCCACATGTCGGGCGGCAGCGACTGGCACCGCAAGGCCGTGAGCGGCATGCTGGCCTCGTTCGTCCGCCACCTGCCCGACATGGACCTGGCCTTCAACGTCCACGACGAGCCCCGTGTCGTGGTGCCCCACGACGACCTCGCGCGCCTCGTCGCGAGGGCCAGGGCCGGGCCCATGGCCGCCGTCGCCGTAGTGGCGAAGCCCAAGAACCGCTTCAGCACGGACCCTGCCGAGAAGAGCAGCAGCAGCAGCAGCAGCAGCGACAGCAACAGTGACACAAGACCAAGGCCAAAGGGGCTGGCGCCCGAGGGGGGGTTCGACCACGTCGGCACGACGCGGTTCAACATGTACGCGCACCAGTCGACGTGGCTGCACTCGCGCTCGTCGTGCGGGCCCGACACGCCGGCGCGCGCGCTCGACGACTCGGAGCGGGCCGACGACCTCTCGGGCTCGCTCGCGGGCGAGCTGGGCTTCGTGCGCAACGCGACGGCGCTGTCCGACATCTGCCTCAGCCCCTCGCTCGCCACGTCGTTTGGCTTCTTTGAGCGGCCAAACGCCTTCAGCGTCGTGCAGGAGCTGTTCCCAATATTCTCGTCGTCCAAGATCTCGAGCTACTCGGACATCGTCTACCCTTCCCCCTGGTACTGGTACGAAAAGGTGGCCTACGACGACGGCCAGGACCCGGGCTGGCAGGACAAGAAGGCAAAGTTGTACTGGCGCGGCTCCACGACGGGCGGGTACAGCCGCAACGGTGGGTGGAGGATGCACCACCGCCAACGCATGGTGGACAGGATCAACGGCGACGGCGACGCGTCGCAGGCCAAGATCCTGGTCAGGGGTCAGGGTAAGGGCAAAGGCGGCGGCGGTGGCGGCAGTAGCTGGGAGGCCAAGCAGGTGGCCCGCAAGCGCTTCTCGTCCCTCTTCGATGTCTCCTTCTCGCACGTCGGGCAGTGCGACCCGGCCGACTGCGAGGCGCAGGAGCGGCACTTTTCGGTCAAGGGGCGCACGCGGCCCGAGACGGCGTGGCGGTACCGCCACCTGCTCGACGTGGACGGCAACGGCTTCTCGGGCCGCTTCTACGCCTTCTTGCGCTCGCGCAGCCTCGTCTACAAGCTCTCCGTCTTCCGCGAGTGGCACGCCGACTGGGTCCGCCCCTGGGTCCACTACGTGCCCATGAGCCTGCGCGGCGACGAGTGGCTCGAGCTCGTGCGATTCTTTAGCGGCGGCGATGGGGGTGGTGGGGAGGAGGATGCCGAGGACGGCGACGTGCTCGGCGAGAAGCTGGCGCTGCAGGGCCGCGACTGGGCCAACAAGGCGCTTCGGAACGAGGACCTCGAGGTCTGGTTCTTTAGGCTACTGCTTGAGTGAGTTCTCTCCTTTTTGTGTGTAAAACGAGAGGACCAGAAACTGACAACCCCCTCTTTTTTTTATAACAGATACGGCCGTGTTGTTGACGACGAGAGAGAAAGTATTGGATTCTCACTCTAAGGGGGGCGTGACAGATGACCCCGATCTATTGCTCTATTCGTCTTACTCTACCCGTGATGAGAAATGACCATGTTATTTTGATTTTATGACCCACCTTGTGCTCCTGGTATATACTCTACGATGAAGATTTGGATATGGCGCATTGTTGGAGGCGTTATTTGGAGTTGAAACATCACCCTCACCTCCGGTATCTAGGTTCAGCTGCTCTCTTCACAAATACTAAAAAGGGGTC